CCTTTTGGTTAGCAGCTGAACACTTTGGCCAGTGTGCCATCAGGACTCCTTATCTGGCCTTTAGTCAGGCTTTCAGTATGTTTCTTTCAAGTATGATAACATTTTATTCAGCAGGAAGATAGCTTTGGAACAGATGGTAGAGGAAATATTTGTTCTTGCCTTATTTATAGATCACAAGTACAAGAACTGTAATCTCAAATGTTACCAGCAGTGAAGTCTAGTTAGTGAATGTGGCTTCCTTTAAATCAGCCCAGGGGCGAACAACATGAGTTAGTATGAAAGCACGGAGGCTGTGTAGTACAGTGGTTACAAGCACAGGCTTTGAGATTAGCTCTGGTTTGCTTAATGACTATATAGCCTTGGGCAAAATATTTAACTTCTCAGAATTTCAATTTCTTCCTCTGTAAAATGGTAATATTAATACTTCTTTCACTGGATGCAGTTAAAGAATAGTGGATATATGTATAAAATGCTTAAAATGCTTAGCTTTGTGTCTGATGTATAATCAACTTTCCATAATCATTTTAATCACTTATACATAACAAAACTCACAGTGTGAACCTTTGAGAATTTTTCTGTTTGTTAGGTTGCTCATAGAGTATGTTCCTACACTTTGGTATTGATTTTTTATTGCTGGTGAGAAAATATTCCTGATAATTTACCAGATTGTTGTTGTTGTTATTGTTATGTGCCGTCGAGTCGGACCTGACTCATAGCGACCCTCCTCGGGTTGCCGAGGCAGTATCACTACGGAAGTAGATTGCCCCATCTTCCTTCCGAGGAGTGGCTGGTGGGTTTGAACCGCCAGCCTTCTGGTTATCAGTCAAGTGCCTTAGCCACTGTGCTACCAGAGCTCCCAATTTACCAGATACTGAAGATCAAAAGTTACAGACAGATGCTTAACCTTTCTTTCTAAATACCTGTCTTTTCCACGGGAATGTGGGGAGGCATCTGTCAGTTACCCTTCATGTTGATCAGGGCCACTGAGTTCTGTTAGTATCAGGACCAAAGATAATATTAGGCCAATACATAACAGGATAGCCCTATGGGTACTTCTATACTGGTTAATACATAGTCGCTGCCCACCTCTTCTCATCCCCCCTAGGGTTGTGCCATCCACCAACCTAGTCCTTCCCTTGGGACCTTTCTGGACCTTCCAGTAATTGCAGCAACTAAAGGGAGCACCTGGTAAAGTAGGGAGTCTCCAGGATCCTGCAGTGTCCAACATACTTTGTAGTTGTGTGATACACATGCCTAACCAATGTTTAACTGTACTTTGAATAAAACTGGGAGCTCTGCTGGTGGTGTGGTTAAGCATTCGGCTACTAACCAAAAGGCGAGTGGTTCGAACCTGTTAGCCACTCCAGGAAAAAAAAAGAAGCAGTCTTCTTCCATAAGAATTTACAGGCCTGGAAACCCTGTGAGACAGTTCTACTGTATCCTACAGGATCTCTATGAGTTGGAAATGACTCGATGGCACTGAGTTTGGGTTTTGGGGTTTTTTAAATATCACTTCTGGTCTAATTAGATCTTTATATCCATATATCTTTTTTTTTCCTTTTGTTTATTATATTGAATCTTATCTTTGATAATGAGTAACAATAATTAATAATGCTTATTCATTTATTAAGGAGCTCTGGTGGTGGCATAGTGCCTAAGACATTTGACTGCTAACCAGAAGGTTGGTGGTTCAAACCCACCAGCCACTCCATGGAAGGAAGATGAGGCAATCTACTTCCATAAAGATTTACTGTCTTGGAAACCCAATGGGCATCATTATGAGTTGGGATCAACTTTTGGCAGTGAGTTTGGTTTTAGTAGTCATTTATTAATTTGCCTAAATTTGTATTACTCCTAATTTGTAGCATTGTATCTCATGTCCTGATAATAAAATGTAAGAGCTCTATTTTTTTTATTATTAATATTACACTGCCATACAAGAGGGGCAGTAGATATTGGGAAGTACAACCTGTTAGCCCTATAGGTCATCTGCAAAGACTGCCCTTGGTTTTTCAGCTGGAGTATTCTACTCTTGTCCTTGGCACAGGCAATTCAGTGCTTGACTACTAGTCAAGAGGTGGTGGTTCACACCCATCCAGAGCTGCCACAGAAGACAGTCCTGGAGATCTGTTTCTGAAAGGTCACAGCCTTGAAAACCCTCTGCACAAGAGGTTGCCATGAATCAGGAGTCAGCTTGATAGCAACTAACAACACCAGGTCCACTCTGACTGAGAAAAAAAGATCATAGCAACACACACCATGCAAGACAGTGGTCGTCACTTTCCAGTTCCCTTCACATAAACAAGCAAAAAAAAACCTCACTGCTATCGAGTTGATTCCAACCCCCACTGGGTTTCCAGTGCTCTAAATAAAGTAGATAGACCCATCTTCCTTCCGTGGACCGGCTGGTGGGGTTGAACCGCTGAACTTCTGGTTAGCAGCCAAATGCCTTAGCCACTACACCACCAGAGCTCCTTACTCATTGCATGGTAGGCATAATTTCAAAGAGCCAACTCTTGCTTTCAAGTTGACTTAAATGCCCACCCTATTTGGAAATAATAGGTTGGATTTTTTTTTCTTTTAAGAACTTTTATTTAATTATTTTTAACAGTTCAGTCTGTTGGATTCACATGCAGTTTGGGGAAAACAAAAAACAAAAAAACCCTGTAGTATGGTTTCCTATAAACTGCAATAAAAAAGGGAATTACCTGAAGTTGCTAATTATTTTTTGTAACCTGCAGCACAGGAAGCATGCTCTTGGCTGCACAGGCTCCTGTATACTGTGTTGAAGAGCTTGCTAAGGTCTGAAGGCAGTTTATAGAAGACAGTTGTTTTCTCCACAATTTAGGTAACATGAAAATTAAACTGGTATTCATGAATAAAGAACTTTTCTCAAAAATGGAGGCACCTTCTGTTGAGGGATGTGTAGGTACACTTACAACATCTTGAACAGTATGAAGAGAGACAGACAGCAGGGTGTTAAATGCTTGTGCTGCAACTTGAAAAATTCCTCCATATGTGTTCCAAGGAAAGGGAGGATGGTTCTACACCATGCTCATCATCTTATATTAACAGAACCCACCAAAAAACATTCCATAACGAGGAAGCAAATTTCCCTCACTGCTTTCGGTCAAAGGCAGTGGTGCCTACAGTAGAGGGTGGAAGTGGAGCAAGCCTTGCTTGGGATAAAGCACAAGTGTCCATCTCCTGCATGGCTGTCCTTCTGTCCTCTTAATATTTCCCAGACGTGGGAATTAGAACTGAGGTTTGTTCACCTGGGCTTGGAGTGATTCCCTATCTGTAACGATATCCTTCCATGTGACCCCTGTAGGCCTCTCTGATGTTAGCCATCCACTTTTGTATCCTCTTGTGATTAAAATACAAAACAAGCAGGAAAATAGCTCCTATCTGGGCTAAAACAATACCCAGGAAGACGTAAAAAGTCTCAAGGATGGGGGCAGAATTAGGTCAGAGCCCAAGTTGGAGCTGTATAGTTGCAACAGAACACAATCCTCATTTTTTGTAGGAATGCACAGGTTGCCTTTTCTTGTT